CTATAGTTTCATAAGATAATTGAATCATCAATAATCAATCATATAAAGTGTCATGAAATATTTTGAATCTATTATGTAATTCTTTGCATTTCATTATATTGTTTCTTTTATGTTTATTGATCTTTATGTTGTTTCTATATTGATATATGTTATAGATTTATGTTATTTTTATATACTTAATTGTTTTAACCATTATTATTTACACAGATACCAAGAGCAAACCAATTGCCAACCAAAATTTGTCACAAATGTGCATACGAATTGAATCAATGCAGTTCTTTTGTACAAAAGTATATAAGGGCTAAAAACAAGCAGAGACCAAATTTTCGTAGACAATGTTGTGGTTTATGTTGTGAACCAGCAAAAAACGAATTCCTCTTTGATCTTAGAAAAGAGACGAATTTACAACATAACCCATTTCATAAAATACAGGAAATTTTTACTGCTGAAGTATGAAATATTTTATATAGTTTATTAATTGCATTTAAAATTATTAGATTAAAAATAACATGATTTTTGTATTTTTAAGCAACTTGGAAACATTCAGAAAAACTACAAATTCATATGTTTACCTTGTCGATATGTAATAGATGTATTGATAGATTTAAAGAATATATGTGAAGAAACTGCAATTAGATTGGAAGATACAGCCAATAAGACAACAAATTTAAACAAAGTTGATCAATTAACTTTTCCAAAGGTAATATTATATAATGTTATATTGATTATATAATCCTTACTAAATTATTTTTTTCTTATAGATAAAAACAACGGTTGTAAGTCGTAAAACTACCACTACTGATTCTGCTAGAATAAATTTACATACATTACAAGAATCAAAGAGTGATTTTGATGAAATGACTCGTACACGATCTAGAAATAACAAATTAAACGAAAAAACGAGATTACAAGTTTGTAATAAATGTCATAGTTCTATTAAAACCGATGATGATGTGTACAAGATTCACAAAACTGGAAATATTGTATGTAAAAGTTGTTGGAAAAATGTGAACATACATAAAACTGAAAAACAAGTACAAGAAAATTCCACTGAAATCAAACTTTGTACAGTTTTTCTAAAAGATGTATTAAAAGATACGGATATAAGAGAGAAAAAGACGTATGTTATAACAGACAAAAATTTAGAAAATGAAACTAAATCTAATAAAATAATTAATAACATAGGAAATGATGTAGGAAAACAGAATCAAAAACGTTCTGTTAAATGTTTAAAGACTGCAGATGAGGACACAAGTAATAAACATGTACCTAATAAGAAATACAAGTCTGATGTCAAAGAAGTACGTCAAATTAGTTTAAAACAGTTAAATACAAACATCCAACAGCAACAGACAACAGCAACACAAACTACAAAAATTACAAAGAAGGAAGATACAAGTGATACAAATTCTCGTGTTACAAGAAGACGTGGAAGACCTTTAACTAAACATAAACGAGCAACTGGTTCATCATTATCCGACGCAGATGTCGACAATAAACATAATCGTAAGAGATTAAAAACTATTTTAAGTGGTATTTCTGTAATGAAAAGCTTAGATGTAAGTGACGAATCATCATCAAACGAAGATGTAATATCAAAGAAAAAGCGATCAAGATATACAAGTACTTCATCTATTATAGAAATATCTGATGAAGATACAAATCAGAAAGGTTTTGAAATGAATCTACGAAAGAAAAAAACTAATATTCAGAAACTCATAAAATCTTCTGCAGAATTACAATCCTTAAGCTCTGAAAATATATTTAAGACTCAAACACATGTGTGTGACGAATGTGGTGCCAGTTATGAAAATAAACTTACAGAATTGACGCATAAATTGACTCACTATAAACAACCAGAATTAAAATTACAAAAATTAAATACTGAAATTTTGACAAAAAAAATATTAGGACTAAGCAAAGTAATGGATGATCAGTCAGAAGATTTGTCTGAAACAATAGGAATTACGGTAGAAGATGATGAGGAAGAATTATTGGAAAATGAAATAGATTTGAACATAAATAGTCATGCAGATACAAGTTCTGACACAGAAAATAAAATTGATTCTTCCAAAAAGGAAATAGTAGAAGATGTTGTTGATGTAAAACTTGTTATGAAAGAATTTGATGACGACCATAAAATTGAGGAAAAAACAGAAAATTTACAAAAAGAAACTCAGAAAGAAATAGAAGATTTACAAGAAGAAACCGAGAAAAAAACAGAAGATTTACAAAAAGAAACCGAGAAAGAAACAGAAAATTCACAAAAAGAAAGCAAGGAAAAAACAGAAGATTTACAAAAGGAGATCGAGAAAGATACAGAAGATTTACAAAAAGAAATCGAGAAAGAAACAGAAAATTTACAAAAAGAAATCGAGAAAGAAACAGAAGATTTACAAAAGGAAATCGAGAAAGAAACAGAAGATTTACAAAAGGAAATCGAGAAAGAAATAGAAGATTTACAAAAAGAAACCGAGAAAGAAACAGATTTACAAAAAAAAAGCGAAGAAAAAACAGAACATTTACAAGAAGTAACGGAAAATTTACAAGAAACTGAGAAAGAAACAGAAAATTTACAAATAGAAGAGAAAGAAACAGAAGATTTACATGAAGTTCTAGAAAAAAATACCGCAGGTTGGTCAGTACAAAATGAAAATGAAATTAAAGGAGATAAGAATACAGAAAATGAAAAAGAAAATAAAAATAAAAATAATTTCGAAATTGGTGAACGCATTCGTGGATCTGTAGACTGTTCGAATTCAGAACAAATAATAAAAATTTTGAGCGATTCTGAAGATAAACAAGAAAACAGTGAAACCAAAGTAGAAGAAAAACAAATTGAAGTATCCGAAGAAAGAGAAACAGAAAAAGATACAGAGAAACATATAAATGCAGAAGATAAAAAAAAAGAAGAAAATAAGCAAGACAAAGTAGTAGTATGCATTGGACAACAGTCTCAAATAGTTAATCACGAAAGTTTAAATAAAATTGATGAGGATTTTGTAAATGATGTTCCTAAGAAAATTGAACAAAGTAATACTGAACATGATAGAACGACAAATGAAACGAAAGTAGGAATCGATGATAAAGACGATATAACAATACCTACTGAACAAAAATCGCCTAAATTAACACAGAAAAGAAAATCTTTCGACAAAAATAAAATACAAACAAAAATAAATGAGTTTGATTTTAAAAAATCGGAAGTTTTGGAAGAAAATGTATTATCCAAAGAAGATAGTACAACTGATGAGAAACATGTTAGTGTAAATTATGTGGAAATTGTGGAATCAAAATCTTCGAAAAAAGAACAAGAGTCAACGAGTGATTCTATAACTGCAGCGGCGGAAATATTGCAGGAAGTACTTGATTTAGCAAGCGCAAAAGTTGGAAAACATCAAGAAGTTCTTATAAATATTTCTACCGATATTGATTCTACGGAAACTGAGACTTTGGAAAACATATCACGTGAAATACAGAACACTGCTGATATGTAACTTGTTAAAATGCAGACAATGTCAAAAGTGAAAGTGAAATAACTTTCATTAGTATATCTATAT